TTGCGAAATTGGTTCTTGGTTCCGAAGCGTCCTATGAGGATTCCCTCGCTGGGACTTCTAGCTCAACCTATTGCAAATGTATGGAGCAGCTTAAGCGATTTTAGCACTTCGAATAGACGTAAATAGAGGCAGCTGTCGAAGGTACTAATTTTCGCCGACTCAACTTTCAACGACTAAAAAACTTACAAAAATCATCCCCTCACCCAAAGCTGTTTCGATATTCTTATAGTACGAGAAGTTTCCTATCAGATGATATCAAGCTTGCTTGCAAAACGTTTCACTTTTTGAACAAAATTTCCAATTGAAAAAAACGCCATTACTTATGTGCCAACCCAATAGTTCGCAAATGGCAAGCCATCAAGAATAAAGCGATAGTCGTGTTGACTGGAAGAGAATACACTGCTCCACATAATGATAGTTCCACCCAAGAACCTCACGAAATCCCGTCTTACGCGACGTTTTCAAAGATGCTGTAAAATAAAAAATATGGCGATTACCAATGCCCGTTCGTACGCCAACACCAAATACCAAATGGAAGGAACATTTTTTTCTCTTCATTTTTTTTTGAAAAATGGTCACTTTGACAACGACGCAAAATCATAGTTCCACTAAACAAATCGAATGATCCAACAACAAGTTGACAACAAAATGAATAAATTGTTAAATCAGTAATCTATAGCAGCCCCATTTCTTCGAATAAGTTGGAAAATTCGGTTGCCCATGCTCGAATAGAGGTTGTCAATAAGTCGTCTGTCCACTTGGTGCCATGCATCAACTATGCTTCCGGATATTTTGGAACCGTGCATTGTTCGCATAGATTTTGCGCACCATGAAGCCCCACACATTCTCGATGGGTTCAGGTCGGGGCTATTCGCTGGCCAGGGCAAAAGAGCGATTTGATGACGACTGAACCACGCTCGAGTGCTTCGGCTGACATGAACCGGTGCATTGTCTTGCATGAAAACAGGGTTTTCTTGCCGATTCCTATGCCAGAATGGAAGCAATCCTCGTCGCATGACGTTAATATAATCAGAAGAGTTCATTTTCTTAGATACGAAGCATAGCTTCACACGTCCCGTTGATGCGATGGCAGCCCACCATGACGCCACCTCCTCTGAAGTTCCGCCTGGAAAAATTGAGCTGGTCCTTCCTCAGGTCGTGCCAGTAGGATCGGTTTCCATCTGGACCGTCGCAGTTGAATTTTTCTCATCAGAGAACACGACCTAGAAAAAAAACCTGAAAAAACAAGACAGACAAGCAGAAGAGCAGCGCAGCTGGAAGCTAACCTTACTCCAATCGGCTTCGGCAACATCCTCTAGCAAAGTCAATTCGGTTCTCACGATGCCTTTTTGTCAGGAACGGCGCCTTCCTCATTTTCCTTCTGAGAATGTACCCCGACTTCGTTAGGACACGGCGAACAGTTTCCTTCGAGACATTAAGCTTCAGAGATGACCTGATTTCCTGGCACGACATTGTGGTGTTGGATGCTTCTCTGAGGATACGGCGCTTATCCCGATCTGAGAGCAAGAGAGGACGACCAGGGCTCTTCTTGATTCCATATCCTTCTGGTTCCCTGACAAAATTGTTGATTACATGGTG